AATTCAGCACTAGCATATCTTGTGAATTTGACCAACTTTTTGGTCATACCAACATTACACTTGAATCCCCACTGAGTTTTTTTTTCCTCAAATGGTCTTATGACATCATTCAAAAGCTTTGAACACTAGGCAAAGAGCTTCAATGATTGAGAACAGCTGAGCAGAAGCCACAAAAAAGGATGAATGTGTTGTCAAATGTTTTACGAACATCTGAGCAGAAGCCACAGGAAAGGATGAATGCACTGTTAAATGTTTTACGAACCTGCTATTCGGATACTGAACCAATGTTACGATCATATGGTTTCCATTTATTGACCCAAGATGAAATCTGTCTTCTTCAACCCCAAGATTAGAAGCAAGATATAATGAAGATTTCTTTCCACAGAAGGGACGCAGAAATTTTAACAATAAGAAACTAGTGGAGCCAACTATGGTTGAACTACAAGTTGTTGTTAAGCATCTCGACATTATATGGTCCAAGTTGCCTTATTCGAGATCTGATTATATGTGGAGACATGAAATGAATTGGAATAAATCTTCCTTGTGATATGTTTCAAGAGTCAAATCAGATCAGACTCTACTCTCCTAATTAATCCCTGTTGAGTCAGGCATATCTACATCTACACTCTTCAAAGATGATAGATTCTCTTTTCAAAAATGAAAGCTTTATGGAATTTCTACACAAGTCCAAGCAAAGAAAATTGGTTTTATCCAAGACAAAATGGGACATCAAGGTCATAGTTCTGACTACAGCAAGAGTTCCACAAATGAAACATTTCTTCTGAGACCTTCATGAAGCAAAGAAGACAGTAAAGATACAAGTTGATCAGATGATTCTGCAGAAATGCAAGCTTGATAGCATAAGTTGCTACATTGATATCCAGAGGTAACCCTGGCAATAAATGATGAACTAGAGGAAGACCAAGTTCACCACTTTGAAGTCAAATGAAGATTGCATCAACATTCATGCATTCATAAGAATATCATTTACACAATAGACAATGCATTACATTGATACATCTGAGTGCATTCAAACATGAAGTTTTACAGATCTTCGGAAGAACGAAGAAGAAAAAAAATACCTTACAAGAAGAAGGTATTCAAAACCAAAAATACAGGAATCCCGCAAACATCTAAAGAAGAGATGGACGCAATCCACAAGAATGAGTATTATCTTGAGATTGGGGCATGTTACCCAATCAACATGTTATTTTGAAAAATAATGAGAAAATGATTTCCATAGTTTCTCATTCAATCTTTTCTGAAAATGAAATTGTTGAATAGTAAGAAAACAATTTCCATAGTTTCTTACTTAGTAAACTATTTCTCACATCTGTAAGTCCTTCAGTGCATGATGTTTCCAAAAAGCCTTCGGAAGCTTTTTGATGTTTTCAAAGCCTTCGGGTCATCTGTAAGTCCTTCAGTGCATGATGTTTCCAAAAAGCCTTCGGGAGCTTTTTGATGTTTTCAAAGCCTTCGGGTCATCTGTAAGTCCTTCAGTGCATGATGTTTCCAAAAAGCCTTCGGAGCTTTTTGATGTTTTCAAAGCCTTCGGGTTATCTGTAAGTCCTTCAGTGCATGATGTTTCCAAAAGCCTTCGGGAGCTTTTTGATGTTTTCAAAGCCTTCGGGTCATCTGTAAGTCCTTCAGTGCATGATGTTTCCAAAAAGCCTTCGGGAGCTTTTGATGTTTTCAAAGCCTTCGGGTCATCTGTAAGTCCTTCAGTGCATGATGTTTCCAAAAAGCCTTCGGAGCTTTTTGATGTTTTCAAAGCCTTCGGGTCATCTGTAAGTCCTTCAGTGCATGATATTTCAAAAAAGCCTTCGGGAGCTTTTTGATGTTTTCAAATCCTTCAGGTCATCTGTAAGTCCTACAGTGCATGATGTTTCCAAAAAGCCTTCGGGAGCTTTTTGATGTTTTTAAAGCCTTCGGGTCATCTGTAAGTCCTTCAGTGCATGATGTTTCCAAAAAGCCTTCGGGAGCTTTTTGATGTTTTCAAAGCCTTCGGGTCATCTGTAAGTCCTTCAGTGCATGATGTTTCCAAAAAGCCTTCGGGAGCTTTTTGATGTTTTCAAAGCCTTCGGGTCATCTGTAAGTCCTTCAGTGCATGATTTCCAAAAAGCCTTCGGGAGCTTTTTGATGTTTTCAAAACCTTCGGGTCATCTGTAAGCCCTTCAGTGCATGATGTTTCCAAAAAGCCTTCGGGAGCTTTTTGATGTTTTCAAAGCCTTCGGGTCATCTGTAAGTCCTTCAGTGCATGATGTTTCCAAAAAGCCTTCGGTAGCTTTTTGATGTTTTCAAAGCCTTAGGGTCATCTGTAAGTCCTTCAGTGCATGATGTTTTCAAAACCTTCGGGTCATCTGTAAGTCCTTCAGTGCATGATGTTTTCAAAACCTTCGGGTTATCTGTAAGCCCTTCAGTGCATGATGTTTTCAAACATTTCCATCCTGCTCAAAAGAAGCCAAATGAAAAAATTATTGTCTTTTTCGTCTTTGCTCTATTCTTGTTAACACAAGGATGAGCAAAGAGGGGCAGCTGTAGATATCAATTTTTTCATTTAAGCTTATTATTATTATTAAAATTATTATTATTATTATTATTATTATTATATATTATTTATTAAAAATTACAAAGCCCATTTACAACCCGGTTACATCCAGGCCCAAACATGACCCAAAACCCTTCTAGGGTTTTCAGAATCTTCTCATCAGCCGCCTTAGCTCATCACCGTTGGATCTGGCCTTGATCCAACGGTCTCCAGATGCTTCCAGCTTAAAACCCTAGGGTATTATAACCCTAGGGACCACGCGGCGCCACCTCTTCCAGGTGTCTCATCCCGCCGTTGCCGACACTCCAGAACGTCACGAAGCTACCCACGTTGAGCCCTATGGTGAGTCACCACCATAGCTATGGTGACTCACCGGGCCTTTCATCTCTGGAACCGGTCCAACGAGAGCCTCGGTGGTGGCTATAAAAGCCACCCCACCTGCAAGAAAGAAAAGACCCACAGAGAGCAACGGAGAACAACAGAAAAACAGACGAAGAGAGAACAAAAAAGAGAGATACGAACAGCAACCAACAACCAGACCAAAACAGAAACGAGAGAAGAAGAGGAACTTACCCTTGAAGCCTCGCTCATTACCGGAAATCCCGAGCGTCACCGGAGTCTCATTTTTCGAAGGTAAAAATTAGATCTACAGGAATCTAAGGGTTTTTAGGGAAAATAAAGACCGGAATCGGTCTTAGAGCGTTTAGATCTCTATTTTAGGTAAATTTGGGAATTTCCGGCCACCGGAGGCGGAACTTGCGGCGGATCATGGTTGCCGGCCGGTGGTCAGCTCTCTCTCCGGGGAAGAGTTTGGAGAGAGCAGAGAGAGTTTTCTCTCTCACAGAAAGAAAAAAAAAGAAAGAAATGAGGAAGATGGCATAATGGCCGGCCGATTGGGTATTTAAAGCCTTCCCCAAACGACGCCGTTTTGGGGAGGGATATGTCCGTAATTAACAAAAGATTAATCCCGTCCGCCATCCCTTTAATTTGTAATCTTTACCTTTTAGTCACTAAATCAAATTTTTGATCCTTTTAATTCGGTCTCTACATTTTATTTATTTATATTTTAGCCATTTACCGTATTAATAATATATTTAAGATAAATATCATATTTAGTCCTTTAATTTTAATAAATAATATTTTAATCCCGAGTATATATATTTTTAATTTATTTTAATATGATATTCGAATTTTATATAGTTTTAAATTAGTCATCAAATTAATAAATAAGGAAAATAGCATGTTTAATCCCTATAATTTTAAATAATTAATTATGAATTAGGTATTTAATTTTATTAGATTATAATTTAGTCCCTAAGTTTAATATTTTCATTTACAAGCTTTATATTTTTTATTTTTTCATACCATGTTTTAATTGTATTTTAAACATTATTTAATCATATGTTACCTTTATATTTATGTTCATATATATTTAATTATCATTACTATTATTATTATTATTTTTTATTAATTATGTCAATATATATAGTCTTATAAATATATATAATATTTATTTATTTATTCTATTTTCCTATTTATAAATTTAATTTTATAAATTATTTTTAAGAAAAATAATCATATTTTGATATTTATTTATTTTAATATCAAAGAAAAGTTGTCTTAAGGTACCTAGAAGCTCTTTTCTGATATTTTTGAATAAATAAATATCTTACTATATTAAAATAAAAGGTTTTTGATATTTATTTTTAAATATTAAAGAAAAGAGCTGTCTTAAAACACCTAGAAGCCCTTTTCTGATATTTCTAAATAAGTAAATATATTATTTATGTATATTAATATATTTTCTTAAAATTATTTGAAACAATAGAATTATGAATTAAATATATTTTGAATTTTTTTAATTTTTAATAATAGAGACAATTTATAATTAAAAGTACCAATTTTGGGCGTTGTAGGGGTGCTAATCCTTCCCTAAACGTAACCGACCACGAATCCCTTTTTATTAATAAAAAAGAATGAATTTTTGGTTAAACGCAGATCAGTTTATCTTTTAACTGATGTTTTCTTAAAAACTCTTTTAAAAGATGATTTTTAGGTATTCGACCTACCTGACCCAAAAGGCCGATGGCGACTCCAAATTATTTTAAAAAAATATTTATTCACATCATTTTTCCCGCCAAGTAAAATATTTCGTGCCCGGACGAAAACCGGTTACGACACATACTGACCAACATTTGACGAAATCCGAATATTAATAAGTTGTAGGTGACGGTACTTGCCAGAATGCATTGAAGCATGAAAAATCTGTAGTTTGTATTGGTATAAAAATTGAAGAATGATAGACAAATAGTTGGTATTGCACTTTACAGATGGGATAAGAAACGGATTTCAGTATTGGCTATTTATCTGAAAAAAGAAGATTTCACATATAGTGAATAACTATTGAGCTTTTCCCATGATCTATTTCTCTTTTCTTCAGTTTTTTTGACAGATTGAATTACTGCCCGAAACTAGAGCTTTTCAGGGGGGCATATTTCAAAAGCATCATGATTTTTCTCACTCAGCTTCCAACAATGCTTCTGAAGGAGGGGACAAACATAAAGAAATGTAAGTTTTTTAAATAAAATTGTATGAGCATGTTGCCTATGACTTCTTGATGAAGTTGTGAATTTTTTTAGTGCTTGTCTTCCTGCATTGGTGAATTATTTAAATTGTATACACAGACACATGCAAATGAAAGAAGAAATACGCATACCTAATTTCCATTTACTAGTTCCTGGGGAGATGATGTAACTTCAATTCAGTTTGAGTTATTCTATGCTGATACCGACTAGGAAAAGCATTTCTTTGTCAGGACATGATATCGTTTAGACAAATTTTAGCATACTTCAAGGTGAACTTGAACCTTCAGTGTCCATTAATGCATCAGGTGATATGGGGGTAGGGTGGCATCCAGAGCACCAGAACCCCTCAATAGGAGGACTTTTGTATAAGTATGCATGTGTCTTTAATCAGATTTTGTGTATTTTTCATTTCTACTTTCCATCCCTGCACAATGGTGCTCTTAAACTTCTAGTTGGTGGAAGATTCTGATTGCAATTCATTCATTGCTAACGGAAGTCTGGAGTTTGATAGCATCTCAACATTGTCTTTAAACATTTAATGGTTCTATATACATTTAATGTACGGCTGTTTTTTTCTCCATTTATTCAAGTTAGATTATCTTTTTTTTTTTTTTGGGGATATCTGTCACTTTTGTTTCAAAGGATGGAGAAGAAATCCCCATTTGTATTGAATCAACAAGCATCAATTCTCCTTGAGTTATTGTTTTGGCATTAATTATTGCATATTAAATTCCTAATAATTCATGCGACTCTGATTCTATACATCAAATGATATCAAAGGTTCTATGGTCATACTTGCATCCGCTCCTTTTTGAACTTGTCTTGAACCGATGTTCAGAATATTTCTTCATTTATTTTATTTTCATCTTCCAATTGATATGACAAACACAGGAAACCCCTAAAAGTCCTTTTAAGGACATTGAAATTGAATGACTCTATGATGAATTGATGATTATTTCTACTTCACTTATTAACATTTATTGTTTCCCTTTTTGGCATCAGCTGATTCTTTTCTGAGATGCACATTAATAAGAAAATGGTATTGACTCTGTGAACATTTTAATTTTGGTGAATATAATCCTGACTGCCATAAGGGCTAAATGCTTCTGCAAACCAGCTTCTCTTCCTCCAAGAATTCCATCCCATTTCTTCACAGATTTCATCACTGTGATTGATGCTAAACGTCGAAATGCAGTGCCTCTTGTAGAACCTAGTTGTTCTCCTCGACACCTGCATTTCCTTATGTATCTGTTCCAGCATGTTTTCCGCAGTCGGGAGCTTAACTTTTCATCCACATATCGAGCTAGCCACATGCTACGAAGCTCCTACGTGTGAAGATTTGCAACGCTTTCGATATAACCCACGAAAGCCATGTTCGGTATCAACGGGTGGATTGTGCCCCTGTCAAAACAGTAATTAATCATCAATTAGTCTTGAAAAATCTTGTCGGAAACTCCCAAACTAAGCTCTTTTTTACTACGTTCTTTTACCGATACAGGGGAGTGATTCCAGAAGGATGATATTCTATTAAACTACAGAAAGGGTCTGGTAAAATAGTTTTGAGTTTCTTCTTTCCATCATAACCAGTCGCGAGAATCACAACATCGGCCTTCATTTTAGTTTTGTCATCGAACTCAATCCCTTCTTTCCAGAACCACATTCGATGATTTTTTGAAAACAATGTTTCCCTTGTCAGCCTCGGTGAAGAAATTTTCAGGCATGATGGCCATCTGACACGATGCGTAATCTTTTTCAAATGGGTGGTCTGGTTTCAGTCCATACTTCTGTAATGGAAGTTTCCAAAGCAAGTAGGATTCGACGAACTTCGAAACCCCTCGCCTCTGCCAAAAGAATTTTTTTTTAATAAAGATCGGTTATATAGCACACCATGTGCGTGTAATATGTAGTGTCCTTTAAGGGCTTTAAGAAACGTCAAACTCACCATGGGAGATAAGAGGTAGCAGAGCAGGGTCCTGAGAATGCCTTGGTTAGGCCTTTCATGGAGGAACTGAGAAGATCTTGTTGAGTAGAACAAGAAGAAAGGCAAACCCACACCCAATAATGCGGAACAGTCCAGTGAAGTGTCCTTACTACCATGGTGCACGGCTGCCCTTCAGGCCCTTCAAGTCATCATTTGAAATAAATAAATCAAACCCATGCTCAATTCGACCTTCCTAACGTGGAAAACCATGCAAAATTCGACCCTGTATCACACTACTGCTTACATCTTTATTATATTAGAAAAACATTAATTAATCTATCACTTGGTTAGTGACTATCAAGATAGAGAAATGTACAGTGCTTAATGAATATTCGAAACTATAGATCAATTACTTTTTATATTAACCATCTAATTTAATAGATAAATTACCTTGGTTTTCTTCTGCGCACTCGACGGCAAGATCAATGGCTGATTTCTTGTAGCCAATGACTGCAACTTTTTTCCCTTTGAGTAGTTGAGTAGCAGCATCCTTGTCCAGCTTGCAGTAATCAAGGGAATGAAGGACCTGCCTTTGAACACTTCAGGTCCTTTGTTGTCTGGGAAATTTGGAATTCCGGGTATATCCCCATATTTTCCAATGCATACAACCACAAACTCAAACGCATACCACTGAGAGTAATCAAGCATCAAACCATGGATCATATCATCAATTAACCCTTTTTAATTCGTTGGTTTAGTGATTAAAAGCAACAAACATGAAGGTTTTCTGAATTATTCCTTCTCACAGCAATCTGCCAAACAGGGTGGCCTGGCAATGGACTCACATATGCCCCAGCATTTGCAGCAAGCTCGAGTGATTCATGGTGACCAAAAAACCGGAGCTCCATCACCTTTGAATTGAACTCGACAAACTTCAAAACATCAAAGTGTTTAGCATATGATTCCGAGTAATCCACAATCTCAACATGAGTAGGGAAACTGGGATCATCTCTGTTAGGCCATGGGAAATCCGAGAACTCATAATCCTTACGAGCAGATTGTAACTTAGTAGAGTTATAAGCACATGATTTCCACACCCCGCCTATGGAATCCGATGCCTCGAAAACGACCGAGTTGTGGTGAGATAGCTGTTTAGCAGCTGAGATGCCACTAACACCAGCTCCAATGATGGCAATCTTGGAGACGATAAAAGGAGGGGTTTCATGGTGAAGATCAGCCATTGAAAATTTTGAGTCTTTTGGAGAAAAATGAAGAATAGGTTGGAGAGTTTGAAGGTGATGAAAGCTTTGAGCATTTGCACGTTATATATAGTTGCATGGAACCAGTGAGGCCATTGCAAAAGCACGTGAATTTGACGTCAGAGTTCGGCATAGAGAGAGAAAGAAGGGCAGACCAATATTCTATTTCTTAAACATAATAGAATTTTCAAAAAAGAAATATTTATTACAGTACGATCTTTAATACTTTTAATTATAAAGCATTATATATATTTGATGTTAAATCCGATTAAATCCATGCATTATTTTAAATAAAATTATTTGAATTCAGATTATTTAAAAATAATGATATTTCTTATTAAACTGTTTCTTGAATTTTTCTATTCATTTGTTAAATTCTATGGTTTGAGTTTTTTTAAGATACAATGAACCTAACGAATATGATTACATAAGGGTTCAACTTTTTAAGGGTTACTCATATACGGCTTTGAGTTTTTTTAAACGAATATGATTACATCTATTTAATCATTATAGTAGCTCGGTTCGTACTCTACCGGCATGTTTAATCGTATAAATTATAAAAATATTATTTATAAAAAAATTAAATCTAAAATATTGTAAATATTTAATTAAATATTTCATTATAAAAAATAAAATCGCCAGGGTTGAAAAAAATTATAAATATATTATAAAACTCAAACGTACAACAATAAGATTAATAACTATAATTTTATTTACCAAGTAAAAACAAATAAACACATAATAAAATTTAACGAATATAAAATAAAAAAAAATTATATATATGAATAAAAATATATTCACATAAATCATTGTCATTTAGTATAACATTTATTATAATATCAAATATTATTCATAATAGTAAATTTTAAAATTGTAATTAAAACCTCTAATTATATTTAATTTAATGAAATTCGTAAATTATAGTAATTAATATACCATGATTGTATACATTCATATTGGATTACAAGAGAGTTTCCAAACAGATGTTAACTAATATATAATAAGGGATAAATATATGATTTTACGTTAAATGAGATGAATTTATAAAATTTTATGAGATAAATATATATTTTGACAGAAAATATATAAAAAAGAAAAATTTAAAGGGTCGACTGCCTCTGTTCACCCATTCCAGATCCATCCATATATGTAATTATATTTATTATTGTTAAGGGAATAATTAGTACGTAGTCGACTCCATGGATTCTATGGGAGGCGGCTTCTCCCCGCGGATTAAGCTCGACATGGTTATTGTGCGATAAGGCAAAAGAGTTTGACTTGGACAAGATTGGCTTCACATATTGGTCCGTTTGAGTGAGCTCCATTACATGGTTTTGTGGGTGGCTTGCTTCTGCGGCAGCCAATTACAATCCCACATCCACATACGTGTGAAAGGAAGCGGTCCAATTTTGAATATCAAACGACCGTGGAACATACAAACATGAGTGGTTGGTTGCCAAGGGTTTGAAACGAAAAATCTAGAACTTCTTTCAGAGCTACTTCAAATAATTTTTAGTGTACGAAATTATTATTTTAACTAAAATTAAAAATATTGGCTGACAGCCCATTTTACTTGTGGGCTGTACTCACAGATCAGAACTACCATTACTTTGTTTTTTTTAGATTGATGTCCAAGCTTACCTTTATCTAATATTTTGGGCCCAAATTTGGATTGTGTACGGCTTTGTCACTATTTTATCCTCTTCCCATTGCTTCAGTTGTAAATTTAATCGTGCAAAATAATTTTTTTTTAAATAATAATACTTTTAAGTTTGTTAATAAAATTTTCAAAAGAATTATATAAAAACATGACACGTGTCAGATAACTAATTTTTTTAATGAATGTGAGTAGCCACATACTTAAAATTGTAACGTTAACAATATTAAACACCTATATTGATAAAAAAAAAAGTACACAAATGGTCCCCCAACTATAGAGTAATACTTTATCGAGTCATCGACTATTAAAAGTTACAAAATGATATTTCAATTATATGAAAATATTTTGTTGAGTCCTCCAATTATTAAAAATTACAAAATGGTCACTTGACTATTCATATGTTCCAAACTCGTCCTTTTCGATAAAAAAAATTAATGTTCTTTTGAGGTGAAAGTTAACTTGTTGACTTAGATATGATAAAATTATATTTTAATGATGTCTACTGATACTATCATTGCTTTTAAGCATTATCTCGATGACATAATGTTTAAAGTATTGGCTTGACGACATAATGTAAACGGAGAATCGATCTACAAAATATAGCTCAAAAGATTCTAGAATTATATTTTATCATATATTAGTCAAAAAGTTTACATCTAGCTTAGGAGGTCACTATTCTATAACTTTTAATAGTCTGAAGACTCAACAGAGTAGTATCCTATAGTTGAGGACAATTTTTACAACTTTTATTAATTAAGAAACTCAATAAAATAATATCATGTAGTCAGAGAATTATTTGTATATCTTCTAAGAAAATTAAATACCTAAATAGCAAACGAGATATAATTTGAATAATTCTTTTATATTAAGGCTTAATTTAATTGTGTGAACTCCAAAAACTGCCGCCAAATAAATTTGGCATTAATACTAGTAATTAAGCAAGGGAGACGTGGGGTATTGGATTTTTATTGGCCTTGTATATTCTGCTGCTGCAAAACACCAAATAATCACCACCAACAGCTGAAAGTCACAACCAATTATAACCCAACACCTGTCTAGTACTAACCTCAAATTCGGGATGGATCTACCTAGAGCATATTAGCATCTTCGATTCCGATTCTCAGCATCTCGAATTCTTCATCAAGATCCCTACCCTTAACTTGACCCATCTAACGGTCCATATTTCCTTATCATATACCTAACCCCTTACCGTTTATAACATTTATAGGCGCTTCAGATTGTTTTTCTCACAAACCACTTGAACAAAATGGACCAGTTGTCGGATTCTCGGCTCGAAGCTTTAGCATTTAACTACCTAAGTTTTGGGATCTTCACTATTGTTAATAATCTATGGACGTGGGTCGCTATCATGACGGCGGCGGTTAGTTTATGGAGAATCAGAGCCGCCGGCGCCGCCACTTCATCATATTCTGTTAAAAGTCAGGAGCAGTGCCCGTCAACATCCGTTATTGGTCGACCGATTCCCGAAGTTAAAGAAAAACTGACCGTTTCACCTTTGGTGTCAGCTCCAGCTTCCGTTACGGAGACGCGTGTTTCGCGGTTCGTTTGCAATGACGGGGTGACAAAAAGTGGGAAGCCCAAGTTGACCGTTTATTACGAAGAGGACATCGACGGTGAAACGACAGATACGGAATGGAGTGACGGTGACGGGTACTGTACGGAAGGGAGTCGCGGCGGGGAGTGGTGGGAGAGTTGGGAGGGAGTGTTGAGGTTTAGGAAAGGGGAGACAGGGTGGTACCGTTATCAGAATTTGACGGCGATAAACGGCAACGTTGTTCGGTTATGGGATGATTCATGTAGAAGAGGAATGTACAGCCGAAGCTGTTCTGTAGGGTAGTAGGTGTTTTCTTAAGAAATACATTTGTACTTTAATCATTGGCTTAATGGCTTTTGGTTTAAGGTTGTGGAAACATGTAAATGTATTTATCCGACAACAATTAACAAAACCAAGGCAAAGGCAAAGGCTTTTAGCAATTGATTCTTGTTCGTAGTTTAATTTTTAAATATTAGTGCTTAAAACATGAATAAAAAAATGAGCAATGAATTTTATAATTTATCTTGAAAAATATTATATCAAGTGAAATTATCTAAAATATAATAATCAGCTTCATCTCGTTGTTGATGCGAACAAAACCATGAAGCTTCGAGCATGCAACTCAAATGCATCTCATGAGTTATATAAACCGATTAGAACTAGAAATGGATAAATCGCATTCATCTTAAAATTTATTTTAAATATAATTTTATACTTTTTTATTAATAATCTATTAAACAACTATCTAAGACAAAACTATATGACTGTTGTAAGCATCGCAAAACGAGAAACACAGCCTGCATTTTGCCCCCACGCCGTTGGGAAAGATAGTAGAAGACTTTTAGGTATACAGTAATTGAGTGTATACTCAATACGTGGGGGAGAAAATAAAAAAATTCCCTCCCCACGCTTTGCGTCTTTATCCATATACAACGGTTCTAAAGCTTCCACGCCGGGTACCCACGTTTTCATCACCGAAAACCCCGGACGCATCTCCCTCTTAATTTTCTACGTGGCAGTTTGTCAAATACCCACGCGCTCCCTCCGCCCTGCCGCCTCCCACCTTTTTTACTATTAATGATAAACCAACAAAAATTACTCGGGAGAAGGAAAATGGTGAGGCCGATAGGAGAGAGGGATGATGACGGAGGCCGTTACAAGGGTGTACGGATGAGGAAGTGGGGGAAATGGGTGGCGGAAGTACGGCAACCCAACAGCCGAGGAAGAATATGGTTGGGTTCTTACAAGACATCGAAAGAAGCGGCGAGAGCTTACGACGCCGCTGTTTTCTGCCTGCGGGGGAATTCAGCAAAGCTCAACTTTCTCGACAATCCTCCGGATATAGCGGACGCTGTTGATTCGAGTAAGGCTCAAATCAAGGAAGTGGCTTTGAGGCAGGCGGGTCGGGGTGCTGAAAAAGAAGGGCGGTAATTCACGCGCGGAGTGCTATTTCGGCGGTGTTGGTTTGGGAGACAGTTCGGGCCGCGCTTATTTTCGCCCACCAGCTGTTTAGACCAGTGTTTTAAAAATCGGATCGGTCGGTTCGACCGGAACCGTTGATTGGTCTGGTTCGACCGGAACCGTTGATTGGTCTGGTCTATTCTATTTCGGTTGAATCGGTTTTAGTGAACCGCAAGGAACCGTTAGAATCAGCTTTAAACCATTTGAACCGGTTTGAACCGTGAACCGGTTTAACCTAATTTTTTTTACCTTTTTATTAAATATTTTTAGTATTTTTATTTAATTTTTTAAATAATTATGATGTCGTCCGATTCTTACGACCGGTCTGACTGATTCGACCGGTTGAACCAATAAACCGATAGCACGGCCGGTTCGTAGACCGATCCAACTCTGAAAATCATGGTTTGGACTTTCTAACCCATAATACAATATTTCTTTTTTTCAAGTGGAAATTTTGATGGGTATAAAAAATTGTTATGTTTGTAGATGGGAAGATAATGTCAGCTTTCTATAACTGATTTTCTTAGCGTTTTCGTGGTTCAACTATCTATCTATGTTTGCATTGAATTCTCAAAATATGTTTTGATATTGAGATGCAAGGAGAGTTTTATGTTGCAATCAAATTTATAAATTTTATTATGATTAAATAGAAAATTTTAGATGATAAAAATATATTTTTAATAAAAATTATAAAAAATTAAAATATATAATAATTTAAAATTTTAAACACGATTGTTCCGACCCTCCTCTTAACATGGATGGATAGTTGTTTTTGGTAGCCCAAAAAGAAGAAAGTTGGAAGTGAGTGAGTTGTGATTGAGTGGTGGGATTGGAATTCAATATTGTATTCATCACCACTTTTCCAGTATTTTTTAACTAAAGTAAACCCTTGGATTGTTTTTTCCAAAGGAAAATTTTACAACACACATCGTATATCGCAATGTATTATTAAAAACTAACAAGCTAACTGAAGTAACATACATCCTTTATATACACTAATAATGTAACCAACTTAAACAACTAACGAGCTAACTACTCTAACAAACTGGTTAACATCTTACTTCCTCAACAGTATCTCCCATCGTAACATGATCGTATCTTCATTGCAGACAAAGTCGATCGCCCTGTTAGCACGAGTATTTACTTCTTGTTACCGTCCGGGAATGTGTGTCACCTTCATCGTATACCCTGTGCTGAGACCTGGCATTTTTATTTGGGAGAACCTCTTACGGTAAAGGCCTACAATTGACCTTGTTCAAGCCATAACAGTTCCTTTTTAATCACATGGAGCTGATATATAACTTGAAATGTTATAGAGTTATGTCAAAAAGAAATGTGAATCATATAGGAGCTATAGTCTTTTGGGAGTTAAATTGCTGTTCTGAAGCATACTTGAAACAGGTACTGGAGCTGGATGAGAGATGGGCAAGTAAAACTAACATGTCTCGGGCCTGATTTGCTGAATGATCAAAAGTTGCAGTATACATTGCCTCCAAATGTTTGGTTTGCTGCAAATCCGACGAAGGATTTCCACATTTTGACTGAAGGGGTGGTGGCGAAAAATGAACCGAGGGATGCCGAGAGTCATTACTCGCTCGTAGGATGCACCTGCGCACCTGCCTTCCAGTTCCAAGACTTTGAACTTGCAAAACGTTCGGAACTTATAACTCGATTTCCCAAACAAAGCATCTCCTTTCTTACTCACTTGCCCGAATGAAATGAAGGTTAATAAAGTACCACACTCTGATAATGGTTTCAGTAATTGAAGTTTCAGCCAATACTGTAGCTCACACGAACGCTTTAGGATGTTCCGTACCTAGTACCAACTTTCAGATCTCTGATTCCTGTATTGTTACTACTTTTCGCTTTCATTTACATCCATTGTATCTTGGACTCGAATTCAGAGATTATGAACTTGTATGGTGTTCATGTCATGTTACTGTTGTACCATATTATGTCAAAAAACTCATTTCCTAGTCTTTGATGTACCATCAGATGCACTCAGCTATGTATGTTGTTTTACAAGCAGGTAAACCGGTGAGAGAAAGCCTCTTGCAAATGGAAATTCCCACCTAACCACATATAACCACATATGACATTATGAATGAAGCTTACAATACTTTAAGACCGAAACATTCATAAACCTCGAGCTTGCTTTACATCATCTTTCATGGAAGACGTGGAGCTCATTTTAAAGCTCAAGTATTTCTATAGCTAATTCTTATTTTCTTGACCAAAATCTCTAAACAAAGCGCAAAGTTTGAACCTTTGAACTTATGAAAAAAGGAAAAGAGATGAGTTGAGGGTGGTGAAAAATTCCTCTTAATTCTCCTGTATGACATAACTAAAAATGAAGGGAAATCAACTTTATTTTCACAGATAGAACAATTACTTATAGAGACTTTACTCATTTGGTTTAGTTTAAAAAATCTCATTTGATTATGCTAATATATTATCTAACGGTTTAACTCTCATTCATTGACTCAAATTTCGAGTCGTTATATATATCTTATTTTCTATATACTTTTAATGAGTAAATCATGCAACTCTAGTATGAAAATTTTGTTCCGGATTGATTAAAGCAGTAACGGATCTATAAATTTAAAAATAGAGTAAAAATTCAATATTCTTTTTTTTTTATAAAATATATATATATATATATATTTCTTTTTTAAATAACATATATACAATTATTTCTCTTTATCTGTCCATAACATCTGCCCTGAATTAAAGATTAAAAAATAGTTGTCCCTTTTTTCTATATGTATGGGGTAAGGGGAGGTAAGATAATAGGCTGGCTTCCAACACCAGGTTAGGAGCAGCTTCCGTAAGAGACTTCCAGATTATGAAATGCCCTCCATGAGACTCGATCTCACGAACTCAAAGTTAAGAACTTTATGCTCTACCAACTGAGCTGGATGATCATTTCGAATTAAAGATTACTTTGAAGTATATTATCAATTGCATACTTTATGTCAACACAATTTTATCACGTAACTGATAAAAATTACATATCAACAATAACTTAAATTTTGAAAATATCACGGGCAAGAACAAAATTTTTAAAAATACATGTGTTGATTTTTTTTTTGAGATTTAGATTATTTGTTACGGTACACATAAAACTCGTTATGCTCTCATAACAAGTTTATAAAATATATTAAAAAATTTAACTCGTCAGGTAAATTTGATAAAATTTGTATGAAACTCATTATGAGTCCATAACGTATATTAATTATTTTTTATATTTTATAGAACTCCTCAAGATAACATGACAAGTTTCAAAAATACAATAAAAAAATACCTATACCCTAAATTAATTTCTCAACATATTTCTTAATTTTTGTTGTTGTTTGGATTATTTGTCCAACAAAACCAACAATAACAGTATTTAATAAATTTAAATATTAAAACATTAAACCCAATCGAATATAGTTTTATTTTATTTTTATTTCTTATAATTTGTACGTACCGCATTACTTCTAAATTCACGCAAAAGCCGCCATACTATCAATCATTTGATGGTTTAGCAATCATGTCAACATGGAAAGTACTTTGATCTAATCACCCTTGGTTTTAACTTTGATCAGAACCTTAAATCTTAATTTTTTTCTTTTGAATTTATTAAATGAAATCAACGATAAAAATATTATTTTATTTAAAAAGTTTAAGTTTAAACAATTATATTTATATGGTAAATATTTATAATTAACAATTAAAAATATATTGAATATATATTATCTTATAATTGGTATTAATTATTTTAAAAAAATTACGAGTATAATAATAAGGTTCTCATTCAATAAAAAAACAAATTAAAAAGCCCCACACCTTATACCCTGATTTGATCTAAAACCCATGAAACAGCCCACAAACGCAGAAAACACAACAGTTTCACGTTATGATTTCTCTCTCTCTTCATCTCACCCCCGTGCTATAAATCTCCTTCACTCACCTGTTCCACTCACTTCACCAATTAAACAGAAGTTACACAGAAGATCTCAAGCATCGAGAGAAAAAGACAGAGCATTTGATGTCTGGTTCCATGAAATGGGAATTTCAGGCTCAGACACTCCAAACCCACCGAGCAAAGTGACTGCCCCGACCGAAACCCATTGCGTTAAATGCGAGTGCGGTTTCACGGAGGAATGCACCGTTGCTTACATCACGCGTGTCCGGAACGTTACCAGGGCCGTTGGATTTGCGGGTTATGCGTCGAGGCGGTCAAAGACGAGGCTCTGAGATCGGTGACGCATATCTCCACAGAGGAAGCGTTGGAGCGACACATCAGTTTCTGCGAGAAGTTTAGGGCGTGGAATCCTTCTGATAAGACGGAGCACCCCATTTTTGCCATGGGAAGGATTCTTCGTCGAAGCCTGGATTCGCCCAGAGCTCTTAGGACTAAATCGAGCAGCGTTTTGCCTGGTCATCTTCTTCGATCTGAAAGTTGTTTCTCAGCTCTGGAGCGACACATCAGTTTGCTGCGAGAAGTTAGGGCGTGGAATCCTTCTGATAAGACGGAGCACCCCATTTTTGCCATGGGAAGGATTCTTCGTCGAAGCCTGGATTCGCCCAGAGCTCTTAGGACTAAATCGAGCAGCGTTTTGCCTGGTCATCTTCTCGATCTGAAAGTTGTTTCTCAGCTCTTTCTATCTGATTTATTTCTTCTCAAATTCAAGTTCAAAAGGTAGTTTGGTTTGGTTTTCTCTTGATTAAATATAGCCTTTGTTCTTGTAATCCATATTATTGAATGTTGATGAGCATGTGACTAATTAAAGGGGTTTGGTTTTCTCTTGATTTTGCATATTTGGTAATGAAAGCAAATCTCACAGCATGTGATTTAAGAACTTGTGGCATAAAGGGGAAGAAGATGACACACAATAAAATTTCCTGGCAGAAGAGTAGTATTTTGGTTTTCTATATTATTTTCCTTAAAGATTGTGTTCTGTGATCTCATTCCATACCATAATCAGTCATAGTGCAAATGTGGTGCTGATTATAATAGCCATCTGCAAACGAAACTGTTTCTAGTAGAAAACAAGAAGTTTCCGGATATATGTATTATCTCTTGGTTGAACTCTTCCTTGATTGGCCATTCATTTGCTGGATTCGTCCAGATTTCCTTTCATAATATGACTGGACAAGTCATGATGAAGCAACTTGGAAATACAGTTGCAGACTGAGTAAAACATGTACAATCAAATCAAATAAAAAAATAAAAATAATCTTGGCCTTTCTTTTTCTTCTCTTTTGCAACAATTGGATCCATTTTGGGCCTGGTATTTTTTTAATAATACTTCTCCCTAAGACCAATCAAATAAGGTGTGGCAGAAGAGCACTAGGCCAGGTTACCTTACATCTTTAAGATTCACTAGTCACTTCTGTTTTGATATTGGAGTTCCTTTCTGCAGTTCCCTGGGTTATGGGCACTTGCTTAGAGGTAGTTCACATTCATAGAGAACAATAGAATGATTAGAATTTAATAATAACATAAGAGAGTATATAATAGTTATTTCCAATCAACGATATCTCTCCTCTGGTACCATACAAATAGTGTTCTGTAGGAAAGGCATGTTTTCTTTTTTCAGTATTAAAGGGAAGACATGTTCTTTTCATTATTATTAAGGGAAGACATGTTTAATCCATGAGAGGTGTCTGATAGGGATGTAGACAGGACTAAATCTGATTCTATTAGGTGAATTATTGTAAATAAAATGAGTTTCGGTCTAAGGGGTCGATTTTTATGATATAAATTCATGTCGGTTCAATTTAGGATGAAAAATATATGATCCGACCTGACACGAAAAATATATGATCCGACCTGACACGAAAAATATATGATTGCTGTTGGGGGGAGGCTAATCCAGCTCAATGATTATATGTTTCTGGAATATTAGGGGCTTCAATAATCCCCTGAAACAAAAGCAAGTTTTTGCTAGATTGGGCAAACTCAATGTAGATATTATCTGCCTTATGGAAACTCGAGTGAGGACTGTTAATGTGTGCAAGTTGTTGATTGTTATTCCTTGGATTGGAATTGTTCACAAATCACGAGTGTTTGACAACGGTAGACTGTTGATTTTCTGGAGGAAATATTTCTTCTCAGTCTGAAAGTTTTTGATCAGTCTTTATCTTTTGTTGGTGATATGGGTGGCCATAGATGTGTTATAACTGCAGTCTATGGCAGTAACAGTGGTTCTGACAGACTGTGCCTCTAGAGGCAGCTGTAAGAGGTGGAAAGCTTGGTGGGGGAGTCCTCCTGGCTAATAGGAGGTGACTTCAATACCTTCATTAATGCTGAAGAAAGCTCAGACTTTGAGAGGCTTGGGCCTTATTACATTGCTGAAATGGAGGCTTATAGGAGTTGTTTGTTTTCCTTGGGGCTCTTTGACCACTCCTATGTGGGTCCTCTTTTCACATGGTCTAATAAACAAGAAGAGAATTTCTTGGCGCGTATATTGGATCGAGTTCTTATTAACTCCCGGTGGCTTGAAGATTTCCCAAGTTCTTTTGTTGAGTTTATAGCTTAGGGGGTTTCTGATCATTGCCCTACTATGATTTCTTTTTTCAAGGACAACCAAGCTGACAGGCCCAAACCTTTCAAGTTTTTCAATTGTTGGGCTAATCATGGTGATTTCAAGAGTGTTGTTTGTTCAAGCAGGGTAAAGGCCAAAAGATCCCAGCTTGAGAAGATGCAACTTGCAAATCTTTCACAAGCTGGTTGTCATTTTGTAGAGGAGAAGATTATTTTTAATGAACTTCAAGAGCTTGAGGTGGCTGAAGCTTCTTTCTATAAGCAAAAAGCCAAGTCCATTGGTTGAAAGAGGGTGACAGAAAATACAAAATTTTTCACTCTACTATAATGAGGAAAAGAAAGAGAAACACGATTAGATTACTCTATGCTGAGGATGGTTCTCGGTTGGATTCTTTTGATGCAATGTCTGCTGAGATGTTGAGATTTTGTACTGACTTGCTTGGTTTTGAAGATGCTGGGGTTAAAAGTTGTGGTGTTGATCTTCTCAAAAGTCTGTTGGGGTATGAGCTTCCTTGTGCTGCTGTTGCTTCATTAGTTGAGGAGGTCTCTAATGAAAATTAAAAATTCTTTGTTCAGGCAAGGTAACGAAAGAGCCCTGGGCCAAATGGTTATACGGCTCATTTTTAGATGGCTTGGGATTGTGCAGGATGATTTTTGGCTGCTATTAGGGATTTTTCCAGTCTGGAACTCTGCTACCTGCTTTCAACGCTACATCAATTACCTTGGTGCCTAAGACTCATAATGCTGGTATGGCTAAAGACTTTCGTCCCATATCTTGTTGCTCGGTTGTCTATAAAACCATCACTGGTATCATTGTTAAATGGTTAGCTAGTTACTTCCCTGACATGATTTTGCCAAATCAATCTGCTTTCATTAAAGGGCGTAGTATTGTCGATAACACACTCTTAGCTCAAGAGATTGTTAGGGGATACTCCCGCAGATCACTTTCCCTAGGTGCACCCTTAAAGTTGATTTAAGAAAGGCTTTTGATTCTGTTTCTTGGGACTTCTTGATGAATGTTCTTGCTTTCTTGGGGCTTCCTGAAAAGTTTAGGGATTGGATTTCTGCATGTGTCACTGGTGCTAGATATTCTGTGGCATTTAATGGTAGTTTAGTGGGTTTTTTTAAAGGGAGAAGGGGAATTAGACAGGGTGACCCACTGTCCCCTTATCTCTTTGTTCTTATTATGAATGTGTTGTCCCACTTGTTAAATATTGCTACCAAGGATGGGCTTATCCGGTTTCACCCAAATGTAAGCGTGTTCTTCTCACCCACCTCAGCTTTGCTGATGACTTGTTAATTTTTGTCATGGGACGAGACTTCTATTTGGGTGTTGTTAGTGTTCTTGAGGCCTTTTATGAGTTGTCTGGGCTGCAGTTAAATGCTGGAAAACTGAGTTGTTCCTTGTGGTGTACATAAGGATGTTTTGAGAATAGTGCAGGCTATAACTGGATTTAATTTGGGTAAGTTCCCTGTTAGGTACCTTGGTGTGCCATTAGTTACCAGGAAACTTACTGCTAAAGATTGTCTTCCTTTGGTTGATAAGATTAGAAGTAAGTTGTCTTTGTGGTCCAAGCTGAGGCTGAGTTATGGTGGCAGAATGCTTATCCAATTTGTTTTATTCAGTATTTCCAATTATGGTGCAGGCAGTTGGTAGTGATGTCATTAGGCAGGTTGAGCAACTTTGTATGCGGTTCTTCTGAAAGGGGGATGATACTCCTACCAAGGGGGCTAGAGTTAGTTGGAAGCAAGTCTGTTTGCTGAAGTCTGAAGGTGGTTTGGGCCTTAAAAGTCTGGGCTGCTGGAACAAGGTTTGTTGTTTTTTGCTGATCCGAAATATCCTTGCAAATGATGGGTCCCTCTGGGTGGCCTGGGTTAATGAATATGCCCTGAAGGGGGCTTCTTTTTGGGCGGTTGGTTATAAGCCTCAGTTCAGCTGGATCTTAAGGAAGGTTTAAGCTTAGAATAAAGGCTGCTAGCTTATTTGACAGTGTAGTTGACTGAAATTTGGTTAAAGGTTATTGGGTGTGGGAGAAGTTGAGGGACAAGAGAGAGAATGTCATTTGGGAACACTTACTTTGGTTTCCTCTTCATATCCCTAGAATGTCTATTGTTGCTTGGATAGTTTTTTTGAATCGCTTGCCAACTAAGGATAGGCTTATCCATATGGGGATTGAGTTAGATGGGTGTTGTGAGCTTTGTAGTGATGGGGGAAAGCAGAGATCATGTTTAATGATTGCATTTTGTTGTTGGTCTCTGGAGTAAAATTCTGCAGACTTGCAGAATTCCCTATAGGGTGTTGTGTTGGGATGATACCTTGGTCTGGGCTGCCAGCAATCTTAAGGGGAAATCCTTGCTGGTCTGCATTCTGAAGCTAGCTTGGACTAGTCTTCTGTACTTTGTCTGGGAAGAACGTAATCTCATACACTTTAGAGGCTGCTTTCGGGCGATTGATGAGGTCTTTGAGGTTATCAAACGGACAGTCAGCGTTAAGTTGCATGATTGTAGCGTTAACAAAGCTGATAGGGTTAATTCTCAACTTTGCCTTGACTGGAACATCGGCTAGCTTGATGTTTGCTTCTGATCTGTTGGTCTCTTGCCTGTAGACATGCGAGAGGTCCCTTTGTGGTGGTTGTTTGCGGGTTGTTTTCCTTTTCTAATTTTGATGTTTGTTGTTTTGCTATTTACTACTTGCTGTTTGCTTCTCTTTTAGTTGTCCTTCTTGAGTTGTTTTGCTTAGGTTGCTTGTAGGGTGTTGTTTATTTTTGATTTGCTTTCTGCAGTTGTATTGGTATTTGCTCTTTCTTTGGGTAATAAAATCAAATTATCCAAAAAATTATATCCCTCTCTATGTTATTCTTTTTTTTTCAACTTACTCCTTATTTATCAAGTAAAATTAAGAATTATATATTTACAATATATATGCGTCGAGTAATGAGTTTTATCTTAAAAGACGGACCAGGTAAAGTCACCTAATCAGATTGAATCGAATTTTAAATGAAGAATAAATTTTTATCAAGTCATATTAAAAAAAATGGTTGTCCCTTGTTCCCATATGTAATGAGGTAAGGGAGAGGTAAGATAGTAGGCTGTCCCCAATACTAAATTGAGAGCTGCTTCCGTAGGAGACCTCCAAATTATGAAATGCCCTCCATAATAATATCCTTAGGGCTGATTGTGTTTAATTCTGTCATCACGCTATGCTATAACCCAACAAGTTGCCAGTTGGCGAGGTAAATTTGTAGCTATGGAGTTTTCTAACATTACTCTGGTTCTGGTTGGATCTTTGTCTCATTTTCATTGGTAAGAAACTTCGAGAAAATCAACTTAAAAACTGGATTTGTTGTGTATATAGAAGGGACAATATCTTTTCCCTGTA